CACAACATGACTTTTTGAGATTTCAAAGTTATCTCTATGTATTTTTATCTATATTTACCTAGGTTAACTTATATGTTGTAACCCCATTTTTTGTATAGGGCTACCAGTCCTTGGTAAACCTTTTTTTTGGCTAGAGCCCCGGCTTGTGGTGTGCCTCTACGCTCTCTTGTAATCTTTTTCCTTATAACTAGAACAGTTAACATATTCCCTTGTAATCCTTTTTCTTAGAACTAGAACAGTAAACATATTAAAAAAAAAAAAATTTTCCTCCTCAAATCAAGAGCGTTGAGTGAGAGTTGTGGTGAGGATACCTTTACATGGAAACTCCTTACGCAAATTTTGTTTTCTTCTATTTACAATTTGTGCTTATTTCTCATATTAATACAATTTGTTCTTATTTCTCACATTAAAAAAAAAAAAAAGCCTTCTTAAAGATCAGTTTTTGAGAAGGGATTGTATACAATGAGACCATTTACTTTTGGTATAGGGAGGTCGCAATTTCTTACAACCATCCGATGTGAAATCAGATTGCTTGAGTGCAACACAAAGTTCGAGAAAATTTCATTTGAACTTTGAGCTTGGTCAATGAAATAAATACAGCCACCCAATTTCACATCTAATGGTCAAAGATTAATTGTGACTTGTACCAAAGGTAAAAGGTCTTATTATATACTTTCCCTTTTGAAAATGATCCCAGATTCCCAATAATTCACAAGCCACCAAGACCCCATTATCGAACCAAGGCTCTGACGAAGGGGAAGGTATACCATAATCAAGTGGAATATGACAGTACGACGATGGTCAAAGGGCCCACCAGGATATTCTCCATCATCATTGGGAATATATGGTGGATGCTCCGTTAGTACTATATGCCATACTCAACTGCCATCAATTAGCTTCATAAACCAATTTCAAGTTATTTGAGAAACAACGGCCTAGAAGCATTCTGTATTTGGACTATTATCCCAAGCTATTTAATTATGGGCTGCTTTGTCACACATTTAAAAATGATCATCGCTGCTTTTTTCCAACCCTGTGATCACCACAATTTTCTTTTTTTCTCTTTCCACAGTATTTTACTAATGTGAATAATGCTCCTTAAGATCTCTCATACGGGCCTTCTTATTCTTAGCATTTTCATGCAGGTTTCAATCTCTATACTTAACTTTCCTTAAATTGCAGAAAATAGTCCAAGATTTCTTTCTGTCTATGTAAACCACTAAACTCTAGAAACCTGGAGATATCCTAGACCTAACCCAACTTATCTAAGACTCCCACAAGTAACCATGCAGCTATAAATATAGTCAAAGAGTCAATCACTGATTTGTACCTCTTGAAAGGAATTAAAAGATTGGGGCTATCAAAAAAAAGGTAGAAAAACGAAACTGTCTACATGTTAAACCGGCAGTCACATTTAACAACATTAGCCATTCAATTAATGAATTTTGTATCTGGATCCTGTTTTCTAATTGCATCATATGGGACTTAGACCTCCAAGAAACTTACTCATCTCAATACATTCAAATGGTAAACCCCTAGATCATCTTCCTATCTCTCCCCCTTTGCTTCACCAAAGTTCCCATTGTCCACCATCCTATTAATCATCAGTGCTATCAGATTTCCTTCAGAGCCTTCTTCAGTTTGGCCAGGAAAGCGAAGCCACTTTGGGGCTTCAGCAGATTTGGCGAAGCCTTCGGCTTTACGAAATATAGAAATAGTTAATAATAATAATAATAATAATAATAATAATAATAATAATAATAATAATAGAAATAATAGTAATAATAATAATAATAACAACAATAATGCCACGAAATTCATTTGGTTCTTTGTATTCAATAAGTATTGCATGACCCAATAATTCAAGGAGGGGTGCATTGCAGGGAGGGTCCTTACAAGTAGATTACTCGTCGGGCCGCCGGAGCGGGACTTCTTTTGGAAAAAGAACTTGAATAACTTCGTTTTTCTGAAGGAGTCGTCATTTTCTATCAGGAACGCTATGATAATAATAATAATAATAATAATAATAATAATAATAATAATAATAATAATAACAATAATTTAAAGGAAATTGCAGATGAGCCCTGACAATATTTAAATTTTTTTTTACAGTATCCAATGAACTAATACCGAGCCCAACTTATTTTTTTCCCCAAATATTAAAGAGTTCTATTTCCTGTGAATAATATAGGGAGACATTTTTATTTGTTTATTAAATTGAGAAAATTACACAGAGAATAGAAATAATTTTTGGAGTACAAAACTGGTCCAAATTTTTTAAAAAATTATGTTGAGGTATTAGTTTTTAGAAGTTTTTTTATTCGAATTTGGCCCCTAGTTCTAAAGCAGAAACATCAAACTGAAAACAAGGATCGAAATTGGTAGTTTTGAATTGGCCTTTTTGGTTCAAAGGGCACTTGGGTCGTACAAATGGCTGTTGGCCCTTATTGTAGGGCAGTTTGAAGGTTCCATATTTGAACCTAGTTTCAGTTCAATATTCCTACTTTCGAACCACTCAATACTGAAATTAAGGTGGTTTGAAGTTTGCACTCTTGGAACTGCACCACAAATTCAAACGTAGTTTCGGTTTGATGTCCCTACTTTCGAACTGCTCAAAAGAAAACTGAAGTTCTCTTTGTTTTGAATTCAGTTCGAAGTTTGCACCCTCAAACCACAACACAGTTAAGGTTTTTTTTTTTTAGGGGTGTGGTTCAATAGTCATGGTTGGCTAACAAAGCAAGCGGCTCAAAAGGGTGACCACCTAAACGCAATTCATGTTTGGTTAGAAAAACAGTAGGCAGTTCAAGAGTGTGAATTTTGAATCACATTTTCATTTGATTTAAACAAAAGCAGTCTGCATTTTGGCATAGAAGACAAAATAATGGTGATTTGTTGGCTTACTGGTAAGAAAAAAGAGGAAAGGACAAACGAAAGAGGAAGCTACATGCTCCAGTAAGTCACATTAAGCTCTAAAACACCCAACAAAATAAAATTCACTTCGATTATATATTACAGGGTAGAGAGCTTGTCTTTACCATTTCTATCATAGACACGGAATGGTGGGAAGCAAGCTAGATGGTCTTTTGCAGTGGAAGCAGCTTTAATGATCTCATCGATGGCTTTCTTCTTCTCCAAAACCTAATTAAAAACTAAAATAAATATTCTTTTGAATATAGCAAATAATACTAACAATATTAATATTAATACTAATACTAATAAAAGCAACAACAAAACAACAAAAAATATGTTTCTTTATCAGTAAATAAATACACTACATTCTAGACTTCATTTTACCCATGGGGAGAATATCTGAAGTAATAAGAACCAACCTTTAAATAGTAAGTAAACACTCCAACAAACCCATATCTTACAATGCATGAGAAGCAATCTCAAAGAGCTTTTAACTCTCCGTTGCATGAGGGGTTTGTATTAATTCGATGACCGATATAAACATTTCATGAAGTGGGCCTCAATTGATTCTCAAAGTCCAATATATCTAGGCTCAAGTGGGTGCTTTGTGGTTTCGAGACTCTGAGTGTGTTTTATATATATATAATGGGGGGTGGCAGGGATGATTTCATGTCGTGTGTCATTGTAATATAATGAAACTGCACTTCTAGAAAACCACATTTGTAGCATGTATATGACCCTAAAAATTGCACATACCATCTCTTCATCCCAATAATTAATTTCTAAACAAATAATAATAATTTACACCCTAGAAATGGTCAAAATGAGTCCCCTCCATCAATGAAGCTAGACCATCCATTTGATGAATTTTAAGATCTACGCCTTTACGAACTCAAAATCATTTCTTCCTTTTTAACATTTTTCGTCTAATGATAATAAAGCCATATAGAAGTTTTGTAAAGGAAAAAAATACTTATAAGGCCTTGTTCTAAGCGTCTTAGCAAAATGGACAGTCTATGTTACTTGGGTTAAAAGAGCATTTTCTAGGGTGTATTTTAAATTTTGCTTTTTGTAGATTGTTTCATTAGAATGAAAATAATATAATATTTAAAAATTAGT